GGGGGGGGGGGGGGGGAGGATAATCAGTCAATTTCATTTTTATTTCTCTAAATCAGGAGAGACAGGCTTGCACAATTTTAACAGGAGATGCCTCATATTTCAGACTGCATGAAAAGCTACTAAGGAAAAGATGACTTAGTACCCAGGAACAATGAAGAAGCTAAAATCTTCTGATTATATGAGAACCTATAACAAGTTCTTCTTGATATGTGTCAGTCTGAAATTGCCTTGAAGTAGTCCTAGGAGTTGGCAAACCAGTCCTAACAGCACCTGCAGGGAAGTTTCATTGTAGGTCAAGTTGAAACAAGCAGCGTTACTGAAGATCCCTATAAACCCCCAAGAGACTTTGAATGCCACACGATTTTAAAGCAACAATCAACATGTTCTATTAGGTTAGACATGGTTGTAGACAAAAACTAAACACCAAGCCCTGCGCTATGCCAGTAAATACATAAACTTTCAAGATAATGATGATGTCAAGCTAAAGTGCTTTTTTATGTATTAAGGCAGATGACAAGAGCATACATAGGCACAAAAGAGCTACAGATTTTAGTGGTGTATATGGTAGCCATGTGGGTCTGAGACAAAAAGAAATGCTAAGTTCTGGGACTCTCGGTTCAGAGACGATATATTTTGTTACACCAACTAAGAAATCGCAAAAAAAAAAATGATCTTTTTTCCACAGACTTTCCGGCTCACATACCCCCAAAATACCCGAAACACTGGGAAAATTACCAGTGAGCCTGGTGAAGGGCGTGAGAGTACAAAAACTTGCAGAAAGAGATCTTTTTTTTGCAGGTTTTAGAACAGACACACGCTCTCTACAAAACTTTCGTAGGGTTCAAGTTGTAGGATGATGAACTAGTTTCGCAGGGATCCTCGCTGCCCCAGCGGCTCCGCTCAAGCGGCAATACGGCAGGTTCTATGGACAGTGCTTGCGCAGGGCTTAGCAGAGCTACCTGCGCGCTGACACCCGCCAACGCCGCGAGATGAAAGCAGGCGCAACACCTGAACCAGTGCGGAGGGCCCCGCGCGGCCCCGGGCAAGAGGACGAGGTGTCTTCCTCGCGGCCGGCCCGACCCGCCCGCGCCCTCACCGGAAGAACGGGTCCTCCTCGAAGCAGCGCCCCAGCCTCGCGAACATGG